TGACTTTAGTCAATTGGTTACCTTTTAATATATTTTCCCTTTTGAAGGAAATTTAATTGTCTGAGGATTTTGACGATCTTGGAGAAAAGAAACCTAGTATAGCAGAGAGGGCATAGGTGTGTGTGGTAACAGGAGTTGGGTTCCGGTCTCCACCTTCTTGCTATAAGCTGTGTGATCTGGGCATGTGGTGGAACCACCTTGAACTTCACCATATCTAAAAGTGTTGATTTGGTTATGAATGTTTCCTTCACTACCTGTAGGGTTGTTGGAGTCAGAAATACTTGAATTCAAATCCTGGCCTTACTGCTTTCTAAATGTGTAGTCTTTTCTGATCTGTGAAATAAGCATCATAATTCCTCTCTCCCAAAGTTTCTTTGAGGATTAATGGATCCAATGCATATGCAAAGGGTAGCACCCATACATAGCCCAGTCCTTTCTATAAAAAGTCCATTTGCACCTTTCCAATGCTGTGGATTTATTTAAGGGAAGGACGTAGATAGAGAAAAATACCCAGGCAAGAATAGCTGCAAGATGTGTTACTTTACTGTAAAACAGGAGGTCACTAGTTCTGAGTCCTGGTTGCACAGTTGAATCACCAGGGACAAATAAAATGATCCCCAAAGTATAAAGCTCACCACCAAAGATTCTGATTTAATTGGTCTGCTGTGGGACTCCAGTCTTGAGTCCATAAAAGCTCACCAGATGTTTCTAATATGCACTGGATCCAGTCATTGCTTCTCAAAAGAACATAAATTACTGGAAAATCTTGTCCAAATGCAGGTTCTGCTTTTCTAGGTCTGGGGTGCCTGAGATTCTGCATCTCTAAGAAGCCCCGAGAAGGAGCCAGTGCTGCTAGTTCCCGGCCACCCTCTGAATAGCATGTGATTAACAATCCATAAGAGTGGTTCTTACCTATTCATCAGAATAGCCTATTAGCTCTTTGAAAATGTAGCTCTGGGACCTGGGTCTGTCCCTCACAAATTCTGTTTCACTTGGTTTCAGGAGGGGCCAAGAGAATCACCCGTCTATAATGTCCCTTCCAACATGAAAATCCTGATGCTAGTTTTGTGATCTTATAAGAGGACTTCTCTCCCAATGCAATTGTTCAGTAAAAATATTACAGACCGAAGTTGAGTGTGTGAGTCATCATGGTCAGAAACCCAGAAGGTGGGTGATGTCGGGACACGGCTGCTCTCTATGCCAGGTGTATTTTTAACAGCAAGAATCCTCCCTTTGAGTTCATGGAGACCCTCACAGAATTCCCTCTCGGTAAGCACGTTTTACTGGTGATGGTGCGCTCACAGATTAATTGGAAGAGTATCCTTCACTGATGGATGATGAACAGGGTGACCCTAGATTTTTTTTTCTACTCTCTGCAATACATCATGCTTTCCAAAGCAGACTCCCCAAGAGACATGGACTCATCTTCCTTACCTGGGGACCAAACCAAGGAAAGATGAAGGTCCACAGAGCAACCTGCTTTATTCCACAGAGCTCATGACTGACTTTCGAAAATCTCTGGAACTTTCAGAAGAATTTGTTCCATGATAGATTGGATGGCTTTTGTCATTCTTTTTCAACCTCTGGGGTTTCTCTGGTTTTTACTAGCTAAAAGCATCTTCTTAGGAGCAGGCCTTCTGCTGCTTTCCAAAAAGAATTGAAATTTCTTTTTGATGGGGTAAAAAAAAATGCTATAATTCTGGTATCATGGTCTTAGACAACCATTTTGCATGTGCTTATTAGAGAAGGAGTTGGTTTCTAAGAAGTTTCTGAATCTGAGTATAAAACTGATACAGGATGGTAATGCGGAAAATAAAACTCAGATTTTCTTCCTTCCCCTTTTAAAAGTATTTACACCTGCAAGAATACCTGATCAGTCTACAGAAATAACCAACATAACTTTGAGAATGAACAACTCAAAAGGGCAATGATCCCCCACCAGTTTAGTGGGTCAAATCCCAGGTCACTCAAGTTTCAGGTGCTCAGCTCCGTACTATGCTCCCTGTTGGACTTTCTTTTAGAAGAAGATGTCAGAGCAGGGGTACCTAACCTACCATGCCCCTGTCCTGGGCTGAGCTGGCCAGGTAGAGAGAGAGCTGCCATGAGCTGTGATTCAGCAGTAGCACAAAAACCCTAATTGCCTCAAATGCCTTTCCCAAGAGCCTCCTCCCACTCTGCCCCCTTTCCACTGGTGCTCAGAATCTCCCCTCAAGCACATCCATCTGGTTCCGAAAGGGAGGGGTGCAGACTGTGGTTCTCAGGCCTCTGCCCACTCAGCGGAGCCCTTTATCAGGTTCAGGGGCTGGTTGTCTAGGAAAGACTGGGGAGTTTGTGCCAAGTGGAAGGAAGACACCAGGGAGGACCTGGGGCAGTGTAGTGACAAGCCCCACGTCACAGTGACAGCAGAGCTCCAGACTGGGGTACACTGGCCCTAGGTGGTGAGGCTCTGGGGAAGGCGTAGGGAAGAAAGGGGGGTTTCACTTCTCATGTGAAAAGGAGGACTATGTGGGGAGGGAGTACCAAGATAAACTTTCACTATTTTTCAATTTTGACCTGGGTTTTGACGTGACCAGAAAATAATCACTGTTTCACAATTCATGTCAAATTAAATTTTCTTTCTTTTTTTTTTCTCTAAAAAATAGGAGGTTAAACTCCTATCAAGCTACCTTCTTGTTTGGCAATGGCTTCCTTATGAAATTTCAAACAGAGGAGGGGATGGCCTTTTGCCAGCGATGTTTGTTTTACTGATTTGCTGATGTGTAGCATTTCTTAGGGGGCGGACAGTTTTCAGCACCTTAAAATCTTACTTCCTGAAGGCCCTTATTCACTTAGGAACTGGCCACTATGATGACTTCTTTTGATGGGAGAGGTGAGCTTGCCTAGGTTCACTGTGGCAGACCCGCGATTTGAACCTTCGTGGTCAGGGGCCTGGGTCTGCAACTCCTGTGTCATCCTGCCTCTTATGTGAAGGAAAATGTTCCTGATCTGGGGAGGAAGGAATGAAATGGGGTTGGGTTGACTGGTCCTTAAATGTGAGCTCCTAGACTGATGTGCTGCTAGGTTATCATCATTGGAGTTCTTGCTTAAAATGCAAACTCCTAGGCTGTACACCCGGATGTCTGACTCAGGAAGGCTGGGGTTTTCAAAAAAAAAAAAATCGACCTAGTTGATGTTTAGGGACCCCTCAACCTTACAATGAGTCCCAGATTCTTGGATTGGAATGTCAGTCCGATTACCTTAAAATGAACGTGTTCCCAGGAGCACTGGTGGCTTACGCTACCACCTCCCCTGCATTTTCGAGTCATTCCAGTTCTGCTGTCTACACCGCAGTCACGGATGGTGATGATTCTGACCACTCCACCCCCAAACTCCATCTGCTGACAACCACCAGGCTGCTTTGAGTCCTCTGAGCCTCCCACACCCTGCCTGCTTTCCTTCCGTGGAAGCCCGGAGCCCACAGGCTTCTTAAAGCCTTAAATGGTCTCTCCTGCAAGGCAAAGTTAACGAACTCGACTCCCCTTCTCCTCTGTGCCAATGATTACACAGCTCAGAGAGATGACCCCACCACTGAACATTACTGTCGCGCCCAGATCGAATGAATCAGATGCAGTAACATTTAAACATGGGACTGGAGCCCGGACTGAGCCTCAGCCCCTCCTTTCCTCCATCTACTTCTAGCATCTTCGTATTGCAGATCTAGAAGGGGCTGGAGGTTGCGGGCCAGCCTCTCACTCTTTCACATCAGTAAGGTATTCATGTCTCTTGAGGTGGCTGAGAGGAGCATTTGCTGACTGCACACAACCAGAGGCCCGAGGAAAATTAGCTGTTGTATCACGTTTGCTAATTTGAGCTCTGCTGATGAGCGCACTGACCCAAGCACATCAACCAGATATTTTCCCAGACCCTCCTGACTTTAAGAAGAAGCCTGGATCATACCCAGAAAAATGGAAGCAGAGGAGAAGGAGGCTTGCAAGCCCTCGAGGTTGCCATGGGAAATTGGCTTGCTAGGGAGGGAAAGCCAGTGCAGATCTCATCTTTCCCTCTGGGAAAGCCAAGGGAGATCTCATCAGGGCCCTGTGTAAAGTACCTGTCACCACCTAACAAAGATACCAGCATCCCCCAAACAGCACCCCTTCTCAGTTCTGGCTTCTGACTCCCAAGAATTTGATGACTTTGCTCTTTAAGATCACAGACATTGCCTTTCTCCTCAGAGCATCACTGGCCTATCATCAGGGTGCCTTGACCGAATACTCTAAATATTCCATGGAAAAGAGAAAATCCACTTTTTAAAAAAATCTCCTGCCTGTCAGGAGATCCCATGAAACACTCCGGCTTCTTTCTAATGCTCTGACAAAACATTCCCAAGGCACCATAGAACAAGAAGAGCAAGCAGTCTGGAGCCTGACTGACCATCTTGAAAAATGTAATAAAAATGCACGTAGCAGCCACACTTCACAACAGCCATGCTCCTTCCTTTTCCCCGAGTGCACTGTCAATTCCTTGAGCAGTAACTGAATTGATCTAAAACAGATACGGCAGCTCTAGAAGCACACAGCTGATCTCAGGAGCCCCTAATCCAGCTGGATTTCAATCAGATAGGTCAGAGTGCCCTAGATCTCAAGTGTAGTGGCTGCAAACTTAACCTTTTCAGGGGGAAGGGTTAGGAGCATTCTGGATACCTTCCCAGATACCTATGTATTGGGTGCAAGGAGGTGGAAATTATTTTCTAACATAGCTGTTCAAAGGGGGCATTTGAGCCAAAAGTTGAGTAGAATGCTCTTTTTTTTTTTTTAAATCACATCCAAGAAGTTTGCATTGATCCATTCTATTACACGTCTGCCGCAATTTCAGCAACAGTTTGGTAGAGATTTGTTATTGATTTAATAATCCCAATTACTGATCTGCAGTGGAGCTGAAGCTACTGCAGTAAACACTGCACTGTCAATATAAAACCAACATGCAAAAGAGAGGAGTTTTCTCTCCTGCTCCCATTTTATTACCTTGAGCTCCTTGACTGTAGAAGAATCTCTGAGCTGACTCAACATCCAAGAGTCTATGGGCAGACTCGACATCCAGAAAATAATCCATTTTGGGATAATCCATCCTTATTGTCCCAAAAGCAGAGTTTCAAGACAAAATAGTTACTTGTATGCCTATGAAAAAGGAAAAAATTCCACAATATGTTAGACTGTCAAATAGATGTTTAAAACCATTTATATATAAACGTGTATATACAGTGTATTATATTTGTTATATATTATAAGGACACACACATATATACACATATATGAATTTAAAATTTTGGAATAAGAAATATCTCATGAGAATACTCCCTCATTTGACATTTCCAATGCTAAAGCCACCCTCAACATCGCTTTCCTGCTGTATGAGAAAATGCAACATTTATTCAACATCATTCAAAGAAATATATTCTACTCAGAGGATTTAAGCTAAAGAGAAATAACATACCAGTCTTTCCTTGTTGTATATTAACCGGAAATTAGGCTGTTAAATTCATATGCTATCCGTTTTCAAAAGGTCTGTCTGATGAATGGCATCGTTAAGTGTCAGCGGTTCTGCACTGATCCTCAGTTGGTCCCGGGAGTTCTGATTCCCCTAGAACAGTGAGAACCGCCTGGGAATCTGAGCCTCCACTTATAGGTGCCTTGTGTTTATGACACATGCTGACATGTTTGTTGTAAAAATGCCTTGGATCCCTTCCTTTTTGGTGATTCCCTCCAGCACATTTTATAAAGTGCTACAGGATCATCACCTGCTTGCCCCTGACCCAGGCTGCTTTTGAGAAAGAATTCTGCTCTGTAGAGCAATGATCATAATATTATCATGCACTAGCCTGTCAGGAAGCTGATGCACTTCATTAAAAAGCGTTCAGCCTGTTGGGTTCTTTTTAGCATATGTAGCCTTTCTCCGATACTTGCAGAAATACTCTATTTCTGCAGGATGTTTTTGGAAAGAATTTATAAGACAAAGTCATTAAAATCAAGCTCAGAAGGCTAATCCAATTCGTTTCTCTTTCTAACAGTGCATATTTTAATTTAAGAAGCCAAATCTGATCAGAGAAAACTTTAAAAAATACCCAAAGGTACCCCAACAGCAAATCATACTTACTGTAAAAGAAAAAAAAAAAAAGAATCAAGGACTAACTGCCGACAGTCAAAGCAAGAACAATTTCAGCCAGAGCGTCTTTGATCTCACTAAATTCCCGATGAAAGTAAACAATTTTGATTGTTTGATTAGAACAGCGATGAATAATGTATACAGTCCACTGGACCTCCTTTATCACATAAAATGGCCAGAGCATGTTACCTTAGCAACAGAAGGTGACGCCAGCCTCAGCCTCTTTGTATCCTCCACTGTGAGGGAAGAAAATGACCAGTTTCCCATATAAAACTTGGGCACAAAATCATCACCTTCAAAATTGACATGTAACCATCATGTTGTCCAGTTGCCCTCACCCCTTCCATCTCTTACGCACAGAAGTGCCATAATTGTTTAAAAATGGATTTGGGCTTCAATAATTTATGTTTATAACCCCACATCACAGTTTGATTTGCAATTACAACAGAATTACATGATTAAATAGTTAATAGGATAGAAAAGTTGTCTCAAAATTGTTGGGGGCACCCAGTTCTTACCCTAATGCTGGCCACGGGTTGTAGAGAAAGGCCGTTCTAGCTAGCATATGTTAAACGTTCCCCTGTTATAATTAATACATACATAGATCAGTCACCAGCATCTAGGCTGAAAATAACTCTTTCCTTCTGCGAATCAGTCACTGGAAGAAGCTTAAAAAGCTGCCTGAAATTTCCCAGCCTTAAAAAAAAATGCATTATAACAAGGATCTTTTAGGAGACCCCCCCCCCCAAAAAAAAAGAAAGGTAGCTAAAAAAGATACGGGAAAGGAAGAGTCTTGAAGTTAGCAGATACTCACCAGCACTTGTTGACCTCTTGCAGCAGGACACCGCAGAGCATAAAATGAAGCTGTGCAGTGCTGCTGAGCACGCGAGCCCAAATGAACAGCTTCTAATTTTCCCTTCAATCTCAATTCAAGAGCACTGAGCAGAGGAAAGTGATGGATTTGCCCATTTTATATTGTGATGAAATGCAACCCCTAAGAAGAGATGTGAGTGGAGCTGCTCTTTAGAACACATTAGACTGCTAATTTAAGAAAATTGAAAGGTTTTGTTTTACTGTCTTTTATGTGTTCTCTCTGCTACCCCCTCAATTTAATTTGCATTTAAAATTATGCTCATGTCTCCTCAGTTCTCCAAGGTGTGGAGTACTTTCTAATCACGATGGCTGTTTGGGTAGGGGTTGGTGCAACGCCACTTTTATTCTGAGCTGCAAAACAAGGTGGGTAATTATAATTGTGAGCTGTTTTCTGGAGTGAAATATAAAGTGAACATCTGATTTCACCCCCTCCCTCTTTTCCCTGGCCTTTCTTCCTCTTCCTGCCTCTGATTGCTTGGTCAAAGCTCTAGCCTAAATCACGCCAATATGTCTAAATGCGTTCTTTTCTGTCTGAATGTAACAAAATAAGCCCAAGAGCAAAAAAGGACTTTGGTTGGATATCCTCCCTATCAAGACTCAGGAAAGACTTTTAGACACAATACCCGAAGATGTGCTCATGAAAGGCATAATCATAGTCAAATTCGAGTGCTAGAGTGGGTTTTCAACCCTTGGTTGACCAAGAAAAATTAGTAATGAGTATGGCATGGTGTGTGGTGTGTTGGATTGTTAAGAAAAAAGGAGCTACATTTGAGAAGTCTTAGATGGAAGACCACCACACTCCCCTCTCCCAGAGATACAGTTCTGGCTGCTTTTGAGACAAACCTGAAAATCTCCTACTGTTGGTCTTGTGGGCTCTCCCACCCAATCAGAACAAATCAGATACTAAGCTGATGCTGCTGAGTTGAGCCTGATGAAACAAGAAGCTAAAACTACCAAGCATATGGTCTTGTAGGGAAGTCCACTTTAGAGCGGAATACTCAAAGCTGTGCTCAGGCCCAAGGACTTACTTTTTCTAAGGTTACATTTCTATTCAGCCTCCAATGGAGACATGCTGAACACTTGACATTTACAAGAGGAGAAAGCTGTCTTCTGGTTTCTTTAGCTTACAGTGAGGTGTGGGCGACAGGTTCTGAACTCTCTATTGTGAATCTACTGAAATTGTAATGACTCATAGGTGAGAGAAAAAAAGAGAGAGAGAGAGAGACAGGGAGAGAGACTGCACAACCTAACTGGTGCTGACAAACACCGAACATTGAGGTGAGCACAGACGAATGTGTTATTGAAGACAGAGATGCTAAATTGGAAATCTGAAAAATGGAGTTGATTCCCAGAGGTTAGGGGATGGGTTTGGAAGTCCGTCATTTCTGAACAGTTGACCAAGAAAGGTAAATTCGAAGTGTCTTACAAAATCTACATGTAATAAGAAAGGGCCATGATTTAAGAAAACACAGAGAGGAAGATTTCACCATAGAGAAAGAAATACATTTGGGAGGGGAATGATTATTCACTTGCAAAACGGGGACTTCATTTTACTAAATAATTAACCACTGTTTTTTTTTTTTAACATAATAAGATCAGCTTCTGAAATAGATTTTCAAAAAATGCCTTTACTTTCTGGGAGCATAGATATAGATTACATATAGGGATAACTGGGTGAGGAATTATTTTTAAAGGTGAGAAGCATTATAATGTTCGAGAGCTATTGTCACGATCTGATCAGCTCAGCTCTGCTTCATAACTTTAATCCACTCAAAAGCAACATTTATAATGGCTTATTGTTCTGAAGTATAACAGAACCAGACACAGAAGGAGGCAAGGTTAGGGCAAGTATTCTGAATAACACTTATGTAGCACTGAACAATTCAGCCCAAATCATCTTCAAAACATCAGCTCTAAAAGTTAACTCAGTGTTAACATATCTTAATGAGTAAGAAATAAAAAACTATTTTAAAAGAGGCCAAAGTAGAGTTATATCTTTTACATCAATGGCATTATAACATGGAAGTTTGGAAATGTAAGATTGAAAGAAATAATCCAGGATTATTACAAATGCATGACACGGCAGAGATGTGTGTACTTTCTATTCAGTTTCATGACAAGAGCATATGTGTATGAATGCTCTGTATAGGAAGGGAAAAGTATTTGATTAATTCAAAATGGAGGTATATTAGAAGATGGAATCTAGAGACCAGGAAAGATACCAGTTTGTATTAATTTATTTTGGGGGTATACTTATTCATTCTATTGGATCCACAAGACCCAGACATTTTGGGAAAGAAGGTCACATGATTTTTATGTAGACAACTGGCTTTTTTGTTCTTTTTGTATCATTGTGCTAACTTCCATCAGAGTCAGTTTGGGTTTATTGTTTACTAAGAGATGAAGAGTTTTGTGTTATTGACAATTTTATAATTAATTTTACTTGTTTAATTGCTTTACTGGATTCCAGAACTCTCCAGCAGACAATGTTTTATATTTGTGTGGAACTATATGAAGTTCAGCCTTCTTCCTGCATGAAATATTGGGGAAGTTTCTCTTTTCCCAACAAACTCAACTAACTTTAATTTTAAAATGTTAGAAGCTCTCTTAGAATGTGGGAGCATTTTGGATTCCTTGGTGGGGTCCCTAGGTTTAAGATCTTTGATTAACTGCTATTTTGCTAAACAAGTAAAGAAAACAATATATTCATTTATTTTTGCAAACAGTTGACCTCAGAATATGTCGCAATAGCAATGGTTTCTCTCTGCTTGGCAAGTCACTCTCTTCTCTCTCAACCCATTCCTCAAAAGAAGTTTCTCCTTCCCTGCTTGCTGAAGATTGTCATCAAATGGTAGGAGACTGCAAATATTTTATATGAGGTTTTATTCCCATTGAACTCTCCCTGGGAGAGAAACACTTTAAGCCATCATCAGTTACTTTTAATTTAAAGTAAATGAATTTCCAGACTTTTCTTGTGAAAAGATTTTTCATGATCGTTGGAGAGCTAAAGAAGGCTGCGAGGGTTGGAAGGTAGACTGGGAAAAACAAAGTCTCACATGGAGGAGGAACCTAATTTTATCCCATGTAAGCAT